TCTTTTGTGAACTCATATTTATTATTCAATTACGATCTTTGGCAATTTGTGCATTACTATTCACTTGTTTATTGTTTATTCGGGAGATCTGTAAACAACATACAATAGAAAACTCGCAAAATGATCGAGTTAGAGTTTTTCTTTTTGCTCTGTCTTTGCCCCTTTTTCTTTATTGCTGAAGAACACGGCGGAGAAAAATGGCGTACGCTGCCGTGGTTTCGCTCGGGCAAACACTCGATCTCGTCCTCAGTCCCAGTCGCGACATCATTCTACACGACGGCAGAGTGTTGAGTTCCCTCCGCGAAAAAGTTACGATCTTGCAGGATTTCATGGAAAAATCTGGGCAATTGGGCGACGAAACCAAAACCCTGTCGGCGAAAATCAGAGACGCAGCTTACGAAGTGGAAGATATGGTTGAAACGAAGGTATATCAGTTTAAATCCCTAACCCCTTTTCGCATACCACACTTCACGATAAACTCGTACGCGAAAGCTCTTGTTTTTCTTCAGATCATGTTTCCCTTTTCCCGTGTGCACGAGCTTGGGATGAGTCGTATGGGACTGATGTTCAATTGGCCATACAATGGTCTGGAGAAATTGTGCAAACAATTCGACTCGATTTTGGAGGAAGGGGCAAAAAATCGGGAAATTGATGCACAAAATGTGAAGTCTAGGGTTTATCGTTCTTCCGGACAGAGTTCCATGATTAGTTTCAGTGAAAATAATGTTACGGCGGGTCTTGATGATGATTTGCTGAGAATAAAGGATAGACTAACCGGATTCAGTTCACGGCTCGAGATCATCCCGATTGTGGGTATGGGTGGCATAGGCAAGACTACTCTAGCTCGGAAAGTTTATACGGACCCACTCATCGAGTACCATTTTGATGCCTGCGCGTGGATAACGATATCTCAAACGTATAATTCCTATGACATTTTGGTAAAGCTTCTCGACTCTTTGGGGAAGCTCACGGAAAATATGCTTGAAAAGGGTGATGGCGGTTTGGCCGAGTATGTTTACAAAACTCTGATTGGCCGAAGGTATTTTATTGTGATGGATGATCTGTGGACCACAGATTCTTGGGACGAATTCAAAAGGTTCTTTCCTGATAACAATAATGGTAGCCGGATCATTCTGACCACGAGGCTGGAGAGTGTGGCTCTTTATGCCGGCTCTCATGACCTTTTACACCGTATGAACCTTCTTAGTGATTTCGAGAGTTGGGTTTTGTTTCGTTCTAAGGTGTTTGGTGAGGGAGTTTCTCCCTATGAGTTTTTGGACGTTGGGATACGTATCGCGTTTGGTTGCAAAGGGCTTCCTTTGGCAATTGTTGTGATAGCTGGGCTTCTGTCTAAAGTTGAAAGGACACTCGTGGAATGGGAAAAGGTGGCTGATAATTTACGGGGTAGTGATACCTGCTTAGATATATTACTGTTGAGTTATAATAATTTGCCGGAGCACCTAAAAGCGTGTTTCCTTTATATGGGAGCCTTTCCGGAAGATAGTAAAATCTCGATCTCCAGAGTCGTCAAATTATGGGCTGCCGAGGGGTTTCTGAAGCAGAGTGGGATGAGGACCTTAGAGGACGAGGCTCTCGAGTGCATTTTGGAACTAGGCAAGAGAAATCTAATTTCTGTCTCTAGCAAGAGGGAGGGAAAAAGTTGCGGCTGTGTAAGTGTTATCAGCATTCACGATCTTTTACGGGACTTGTCCATTAGAGAAGCACGGAAGGAGAAATTCCTTCATATTGTGACGAATCATGATTGTGATGATAATCCACTATGTGAAAACCAAATCCGCCGTATAAATGTCGATATGGAAATTCCCACTGCGCATCCCTTTTTCGAGTGCCTTAACCGTTACCATTCGAGGCCGACCGTGCGTTCTCTTATGTACTCAGGTGGGCATCCGATACCGTCTTTCATGTTAGGCGGTTTCAAGCTACTCAGGGTTTTGGACATTGCTCGGGTTCAATATTTTGAGTTCCCGACAGGAATAGTTGGGCTGTGTAACTTGAGATATCTTGCGCTCTCATATCATGGGGATATTCCCGAATCAATTTCCAAACTCTGTAACCTTCAATGTTTGCTGCTATTCCCTCTGTTAAAACCCTTTGCTCCTTGCCCGAGGCCTTTGCCGTTGGCCATTTGGTCAATGCAAGGATTAAGGCATCTCAGGTTCCACATTTGGTATCTGGCGGACTTCCCTAGCCTGCTACCCGGGTGGAAAACATGCCCTTTTCTCGAAAACCTGCAAACACTCTCGGAAGTAAGTGTTTCTTTTTGCAAGAAGGAAGTCCTCCGAGAAATCCCGAATTTGAAAAAATTAGGCATCTGGATGGAAAAATGGGATGTGGCGCCTTTCTATATTAACAATCTCGCCTGTCTGGAAAAACTCGAAACATTGAATTGCAGTGTTAGGTCTTTTCCTGACCGAGAAGCTCTAAACTGGCCGATTTACGATTATACCCCGAGCCTTGCCTTTCCCGTGGGACTTAAAGAGTTGACTCTGAGAGGCTGCAGAATTCCTTGGAAAGATATGTCTATAGTAGGATGCTTGCCGAGCCTTGAGAGGCTTAAACTGAGAGATTATGCTTTTGTCGGGCCAGAGTGGGAACTGGTCGAAGGTCATTTTAGTAACTTAAGTTTTTTGTTCCTTGAAGGATTGGATTTAGTGCACTGGAGGGCGGATAGTGTTCACTTCCCATTGCTTAGACACCTTATTATCGAGAACTGCCGTAAACTGGACTCCATCCCTCACGGCATTGGAGATGTGTCGACACTCGAAATGATTGAGCTGGATAACTCGAGCCCTTCTGCTGTGATTTCTTTGAAGGAAATTTTAGAAGAACAACAGGACTTGGGAAATGATATCCTTAGTATTCACACTTATCCGGTTGGGACTAATTTCCTATGATAGCTTTGCGTTGTGCTGGCAATTTTAGGCCTGGCCAGGCCATAGTTCTCCTGATCACCATTTTGGAGGTTGAAGCACACAACCCATGGGGTAAGAAAATAGTGTATTTTGGATTCCAGCTAAATAGACCTGATGTTCGGGCCGTGAAATTAATTTACACAAATGATTATTTAATATATTACGCAAATTAATGGCTTCACATACACCCTATCTTGGTTCAATCAACCTTCTCTGTTTACGCACTGTGTATATTTGAGTTGTTTTCTATTCCAGGTTATGTATGGAGTGGTCCAACAAACATGGTATATATAAAATATATCAGAAGAAATAATAAATATCAGTTTCTTATCTCGCCAAGAGGTGGTAGTACATGTGAAGATGAAAAATAAATTTTACCTATTTTTTCTCTTAAGAATTATTTGTATAAGGGAGCAGAAGTAAAGGATGCCTTTTATGAATTGTTATTCCTGTTCCCTCACTCATGTCCAAATCCTCTTCCTTTTCTCCATTTGGCAGTACAAAGTTGAAATGGTACACCAACTTGGCCAGCCCTAGCTCGTTAACAGCCACAGCGAATGCAGTCCCGGGGCAACCCCTTCGACCGGCGCTAAACGGGATGAACTCAAAATGTTGACCTTTGAAGTCAACCTCCGAGTTCAAGAACCTCTCAGGTCGAAATTCTTCGGGATCTTCCCAATAAGCCGGGTCCCTAGCAATGGCCCATGCATTTACCACAACCTGTGTGCCGGCAGATATGTCGTAGCCCATGACTTTCGTGTCGTGAGTGGATTCACGAGGTACGAGTAACGGGACAGGCGTGTGCAATCTAAGGGACTCCTTGATAACTGCTTTTAGGTACAGCATTTTCTCTAGATCGTCCTCGTTTATCTCCTTCTTACCTTTCGCTACTTTTTTCACTTCGTTTTGTAGAGTTTTCATTGTTCTTGGGTTCTTTATAAGCTCCGCTATTGCCCACTCCATAGATGAGACTGTTGTGTCGGTCCCTGCAGCAAACATGTCCTGCCATGAAGATCGGTTATAATTTGAAGTTTTCAAGGATGTTAAAATATAAGACATTTAAATGTATTTCTTAGTTAGTGCTGTAATAGAACGGAACGAGCTAAGCTTGGGCTGATCGAGCTCGTGTTCATTTACGTTCGAACACTGTTCGTGTTCGTTCGTTTATTTTTCGAGCAAAAGATTGTATTCGATCTCGTTCATTTAATTCTTTGTCAAAGTTCGAGTTCGTTCGTGTTCGAATAATTTAGGACATAAACTTTTTAAATATGTTTGATTAGCTCGAAATTTGTTTGTTCGAACTCGAAAAAAAAAAAAATATTTTAGATTTTTAATTAAAAATATATGTAAATATACAAACAAAAATATTAAATTAATGTTTGCCAACATTATCGAACGTTCGCGAACGAGCTCGTGTTCCTTCAATTATTAAACGAGCCTAATTTTCTATTCGAACTCGGCTCGATTAACAAACGAACGAGCTTTTGTCGAACACGAACAAGTTCGAATGAGCTTTTGTTCGCGAACGTTCGGTTCGTTGACAACCTTTTCTTACCATGATGATAGCCTTAATCGTATCATCTCCAACAGGCGAGCTACTTTCTATATTCTGTCTCTGAAACTCGAGCAATATGTCCACGAAATCTAGTTCACCGTCTCCATAATCGTGTTTTCTCCCTTGATCTCTATGTGCTTGAATCACATTCTCCAGGAAGTCGTCGATAAGCTTAGCAACTCTCTCGACTTTTGTGTCCAAGCCACTGACACGATTAACCCAACCCAACCACGGTATATAATCCCCCAAGCTGGTCGTGCCCAATAACTGCACAAACTCTTTTAGAAACTTCTGGAACTTGTTATCTTCACGTTTATTGTATGTTCTACCTAAGGCCACCCTGCAGAAGACATCGTTCGTGAGCGTGACCAGAATGTTGCTCAAGTTCACGGCTGACGATGAAGATCCCAATTGCCGGATTTTGTCGACCATGAACGAGGCCTCTTGCTCACGCACACGACGAAAAGATTGAACCCTTTTGTTGCTCAGCAGCTGGAGCACACATATGCTTCTAACCTGCATTGAGAAATACAGGTAAAGAGAATGTGACTTGTTCTTAGGAACAAATAAATACTAAAAAACAGACCCAGTTAGCAATTTCTGGTTTTTGACTTGTACAAGCTATATCAGTTGGTAAAGATACGCTTTATTGGTCTATGTTATTTTCATTTCTGTTTTGGGGGTTGTCTTAATCTTGCTTGGTATTTTGTGTTCTACAAGTATCTATGTAGCTGGGGTTGTCTTAATCTTGTTTGGTATGTTGTGTTCTACAAGTATCTATGTAGCGCCCCTCTTTGGGCTGCGGCCGCCAGATTACGTGGTGGGGGAGGGCGGTGGAGCGGGTCACTTGGGGCGGTCCGTGGTTTTGATGTCGGGTCTGTCGGCTCTAGTCGAGTCAGCCATAAGGGGAGTTTCTCGGTCTTGTTTGGGTCGTGGGCTGTGTAACTATCCTTTGGTTAGACTGCCTTGAGATTGGCTCTGAGACAGTGGCGGTTTGGAGTGGTTTCCGCCTAGTGAGGAGGGCTTATTCTAATTGCTTGTGTGTTACGTGTGTTTAGGTTTGTGTGTTTGTGTTGGTGTTAGTGTTCTATTTTCCTGTTTGGGAGTTAGTATTTTTCACGAAGTGAAGTTTAATATTCTAATATTCTATTTTTGCTAGTTTTTAATCTTGTGAGTGAGTTTAGGGTCTTAGTTTCTAGGCTATACTGCCTCTCTGAATATAGCTTATGTCTGATTCAATCGACAAGTTAGTCGCTCTTGTAAATATGTATTTTATTAATATATTATGCGGTTCTTAAAAAAAAAATCCCTGATGTTATACTATACTAGTAGTTGTTATTAAGACACGATTTGATTTGAGGAAATTAAACTAGGGTAGATATATAGTACAAAGTTAGTTATGTTCATTTGTCGATTAGCTATTGTCTTACGAATAATTGATAGTAAATCGTAATAGCTAATTTGACTAACTTATTGAATTAGTTGTTTGTAAATAAATGTTTGGAAAATAAAAGATAATTTTGAAAATTTTATGTTGATATATTATTTTATGAATTCTCTCTTTCTGGAACCGCGCTCATATATTGAGCTTTTTCAAAACTAGCATTTCGAGCTAAAAAAAAAAGTTAATAATATAAGCTCTTTATCAAACTAACTAATCAGCGGATTTGACATTCAAACTTCTAAATAAGATTCATTTTGCTAATTCCACACCAATCAACTAACATCCAAACAAAACCCTATTGATTTGTGGATATTAAGGGCTTGTTTGTTTATTAATTTACTAACAAAAAATCTAACTCAACTCAAAATCTAACTCAACTTTAACCTATCATCAGTATCCTCAATGTTATCAATATGACTTAATAATATTAATCAATCATCCTTATACATCACATTAATTTTAATTCGTTATTCATACATATACATAATTAACTATCTATCACATCCCATCTACAATCTCTCTCATACTTTTACATCAAATCAATTTTAATTATTTTATTTTAAATATTATTTTAATATCCACTAAAAACTAATTAAACCATCTCTTAAAATAAACCATGAATAATAAAAACTTTTTTAAAAATAACCATGAATTAAAAAAAAAAAACTAATAGTAAAAAATTGATTTATTTTTATACAAACTAGTCCTTTTCCTAAAATGAGTATAGATATCCATTGTGGAATTGATAGAATGGATATTAGACGTTGGATCGTGAGATTTATGGCACCATAGAATTTTTGGTATAGATATAGCACAAAGTCCGTACATAACATACCAAATAAGGCAAGATTCCCATTTTTCGCTCACCTGTCTCCAGTATTCCCCGTAAGGCACAAAAGCCACGTCATTTGGACCGTACAATAGCCTTCTTGGTATGCTTAACTTCGGCCTGTTTGAGAAAATAACGTCCTGATATTTCATTATCTCCCGCGCGCCTTTAGCCGAGGAGACAAGAAGCACTGGCACTCGCCCGAGATGAAGCAACATCAGCTCGTTACCATATTTTCTCGACAAAGACTGTAGTGACCGGTGAGCGGACTTTCTGCCGAGCTGGTGGAGGTTTCCGATGACCGGAAGTCCTCTCAGAGATGGCGGCCGGTTAAGTTTCCTGGCCGGAGAGTTTGTCGAACACCGATTTAGAAGGAAGATTATGGAGAAAGTGAAGGGAAAGAGAATGAGGATTAACTGTTCAAGATTGAACATGTTTTATTATTATTATTATTATATTATTATCTTTATGTCTTGTGGTGCTATGTTTGTGTGCCTCGCATTGGAAATTTATAGCTGGTAAATGTCCTTATTGTTTAATTTCCCCTTAGTTGTTAGTGGAACAAATTGGGATGTTTTTTTAACATTTTTTCTCTGGCTAATATTGAAATGCATATTTCAAACACAAGTTTTTTTCTATTTGAAAACTCGTGTTTATCTTATGGAGAAAGGGTCTTGTTTTTATTCATACAATTATTATAATTGGCCGAAGATATGGTCCTACAGTAGGAGACATGTGGGGAAAAGAAAATGAGAGAAATATGACGTGTCCTTTCATAGTGTCGGTGAGTCGGGCAATTTTGACCTCCTTAGCCAGAGCAGCCTCTGAGGACTGACTGTACTGCTCTTAGAGGTAAGATTGAACCATTGGGTCGACTTGGGACTCGGTTGATCTGGAGCGGGGACCGGTCCAAGTGGGTACTTTAGATTAGATAACAGGGAACCCGGTTAACTGGGCCTTAACCTGGTCGAGCTAGAGTTGACATGAGTGACNATTGTAAATACTTATGGCGAGATTCAATATTATTAAAACCTTAAGATATAAATTTTACACAAAAAATTATTTATTTTTGTAATATTTATATATAGTTAATATGATAAAAATAATATAAATATAATCAAATGAAATTAAATTTAATTACCCGGTTCAACAATTGATTTGATGACTTAGCGGTCGAACCATTGACCGAGAGACCAGCCCGTCGATCACCTGTCCGGCTTTTAAAACATTAGAAGGAACGTAACTATTCTATAATTTCTATACATAGTATATATAAAATCCAACCCGAAAAAAAAAATGATGTAAATAGAAGACAACAATAATAGGATCAAGCCTTGATTCAGTTTTTTAGGTTTTAAATTAATAAAACTAGTAACTCTGAAAGGGAATAACTAACTAACTAACTATCATATGAGGTTGCCACCACAAGCAAAGGAAGCCTTTTATGAATTGTAATTCCTTTGGCCTCACTCATGTCCAAATCCTCCCCCTTTTCTCCATTTGGCAGTGCAAAGTTGAAATGGTGCACCAACTTGGCTAGCCCTAGCTCGTTAACCGCCACCGCGAACGAAGTCCCCGGACAACCCCTCCGACCCGCGCCAAACGGGATATACTCGAAATGTTGTCCTCTGAAGTCGAGCCCCGAGTCCAAGAACCTCTCCGGACGAAATTCTTCGGGATCTTCCCACGATGTCGGGTCCCTAGCGATGGCCCACGCATTGATCAAGACTTGCGTGCCGGAGGATATGTCGTAGCCCATGACTTTCGTGTCCTTAGTGGATTCGCGAGGGATGAGTAACGGGCCGGGTGGGTGTAGCCTTAGGGCCTCCTTTAACGCGGCTTTTAGATACGGCATTTTCTTTATGTCATCCTCGTCTATCTCTTTCTTACCTCCGGCGACCCGTTTCACTTCATTTTGTAGGGCTTTCATGGTTCTTGGATTCTTTATGAGCTCCGCTATTGCCCACTCGAGAGCTATGACCGTGGTGTCTGTTCCTGCGGCAAACATGTCCTGTTACGAAGATTGATCGTGTTAGAAATTGCGGTCGTGCAAACTAAGAAATAAAGTTGCTTGCTTGCTCGAGAAACTCAACCTTATACGACAAGTTTGACCAAGTGATGCAAGACGGTGAATTTCACCTTACCCCATGTACACGTAATCGTCAAATCAACTCATACCCATATGAGTGAGCGTGTGACCTGATGGTTAAAATCCCTATGTGCGCAATGACCCCATATGGAGGTAGGATCTATTTGTCGGAGAAAATTACAATTTTAGTTTTATATATTTCACTATCTTAGCTTTTTTTCGTCCCTTCGGATTGCTGTTTTGATTTCCGTCCCTTATATTTAGAAAAAAGTTACAAAACGGGTCTCGAGCAATTCGAAGGGGAAGAGATTGCAAACTTTTTGCAAATTTAAAGGGGACCTTTTTGTTGCGAAAAAATACTTTTTGTAACCTTTTTGCAAACATAAGGATGGAATTCAAAACAACAATTCAGAAAAAACAAAAAAGTTAGGGTAGTAAACCACAACATTAAAATTGCAATTTTCTCCAATTTATCGTGCAAGACCATGAGGCTTCGAACTCGAAACTCATAAAAGCAAAACATTCTTACCAAGATGAGAGCCTTGATTGTATCGTTATCAACCGAAGAGCTGCTAACTTTAACGTCCTCTCTCTGAAACTCGAGCAATATATCGACAAAATCCAACCCGCCATTTTCATGTTTTCTCGGCCCTTGATCTTTATGTTCTCGAATCACGTTTTCCAAAAACTCGTCACACTGTTTCGAAACTCTCTCCACTTTCTCGTCCACGCCGTTAACACGATTAATCCAACCCAACCACGGTGCATAATCCCCCCAGCTCGTGCCACCGAATAACTCGTTGAACTCCTGCAGAAGCTTCTTGAATTTTCCATCTTGACCGTCTTTGTGGTCACTGTATGTTCTACCGAAGGCCACCCTGCAAATGACATCGTTCGTGAGCAAGACGAGTAGATTGGTCAAGTTGATAACGGAAGGTCCCGACTGCCTGATTTTGTCGACCATAGACGAAGTTTCTTGTTCCCTCACGGGACGAAAGGATTGAACCCTTTTGTTGCTCAAGAGCTGGTTCACACATATGCTTCTCACCTGAAATAATTGGTTTAAATTAGTGCTAATATCACTAAATGGCCATGTAGCTTTTAAAAACATAAAAAAAAAATAGCCATTTTTTGTAAAAGTATGAAATAATAGTCATTTTGCCTATCACACAATTATTCTACTATCAAATTTGATTTTGAAAATCCAGTTTTTGGTATTAAGGGTAATTATGTCATTTTTTACAGGACAAAATGTCTATTATTCATACTTCTACAAAAGTGGCTACATTTTATCTTTGCATTTGTTACTTAGCTATAAAACCAAATGACTGATTAAATTATTTCATATAATTTTTCGAAAATAAGTTTTCGACCGCATGCTCCTGGCAAGTAGTCGAGTTTTCGTACCAGTCTCCAATATTCGCCGTAAGCAGTAGAGGCCACGCCACGCGAACCGTACATGAGCTTATTGGGCAAGCTTAACTTGGGCCGATTTGAGAATATTGTGTCCTGGTTTTTCATTACCTCACGTGCGGCATTTGCTGACGAGACAAGAAGAACCGGCACACGACCGAAATGAAGCAATAATAACTCGTGACCCCAACTTGTCGACAAGGACTGAAGCGAACGGTGAGGGAAATTCCCGAGCTGGTGGAGGTTTCCGATCACCGGAAGCCCTTTCGGAGATGGTGGCCGGTTAATTTTCCGGGCCGGAGAATTTCGAAGGTACATTGTGGTGAAGGTGAAGAGAAAGAGAACGAGGATCAACTGTTCAAGAGTGAACATGTTTTTTTTTATCTATATGTCTTGTGTTGCTATATATGTGTGTACCTCCTTGTACTGGACATTTATAGCTGAAAAAGGTTGGATATTTTTTATTTCCTTAATTGTTAATTTTTCTTTAGATAATATTGAGATGCATATTTCAACCACACGATCTTATGTCTATCTTTTTCTTTTGTTGGAATTCATGTATATGAAAAAGGGTCTTGTTTTATTAATACATTACTGTAATGAGGCGAAATATGGTCCTACCTACTGTATAGGAGAACATGTGAAGTAAAAAGAAAAAAGAGAATATGATATGTCCTTTCATAGTACTATTTCTACCCTGCCCTTAAGGGTAGGCAATCAGCAACTGGGACTCTTGATTTCAGTGTGTGTTCGTGTGCCAATCAAGGGCTCTAGGAGCTAACTGCACTGCCTTTGAGGACAGGATAAAATGCTTCTGGGGGCGCTTGTTTAAGTTTTGGTTGATTCAAAATTATGGGTGTAAACGAGCCAAATCAATGTGGAGGTTTGTTTATTTTCTTTTTCGATTGACCCAAGATTATTGGTGTAAAGCAGTCGAACAGAGTTTGAGATCTTAATACTTGAACTCAAGCCTTAATGAAATGAACCGATAAACGAGTTCAAGTTCGATATGTTGTTGAGTCGAGTAGCATGAGATTAGATAAAAGTTTAATCTTCGAGCCTTAATAATATTTCTAATGAGTATTTTAATTTATAAATATTAAAGAATATTTCTTATTCGTACATCGCACGGGATTCGTACTAGTTGTATACCAAAAACAATCAAGACTTAAATATACTACCAAAAGAAATCTTTCTGAAAGTCACCATATCCACAACTTCATATGCATTGATCTCAACTTTTTTCATCAAGCTTACTTTACTACGGTCAACACTTTCACATCTCATAAAGAGTGGGGACTACAAGCAAAGGAAGCCTTTTGTGAACAGTAAATCCTTCATCCTCACTCATGTCCAAATCCTCTTCCTTTTCTCCATTAGGCAGTGCAAAGTTGAAATGGTACACCAACTTGGCCAACCCTAGCTCGTAAACCGCCATCGCGAATGAAATCCCGGGACAACCCCTCCGACCAGCCCCAAATGGGACGTACTCAAAATGCCGTCACTTAAAGTCAATTCCTGAGTCAAAGAACCTCTCAGGTCGAAATTCTTCGGGATTTTCCCATGAATTCGGTCCCTAGCAATGGCCCACGCATTGATCAAGACTCGTGTCCCGGCCAATACATCATAGCCCATGACTTTCGTGTCGTGAGTGCATTCGCGAGGGACGAGTAAAGGGCCGGGTGGATGTAGCCTTAGAGCCTCCTTTAACACGGCCTTTAGGTACGGCATTTTCTCTAGGTCGTCCTCGACTATCTCTTTCTTACTCCTGGCTACTCGTCTAACTTCATTCTGCACGGTTTTCATGGTTCTCGGATTCTTTATGAGCTCCGCCATTGCCCACTCAATAGCTATGGATGTGGTTTCAGACCCTGCCGCAAACACGTTCTGTCGTACGTGAAGTTTTTTATTTTTTTTTATTTCGTAAATTTTTCTTCACGCGAATCGTATGAAAAGTGCATTTGAAGGATTTCGTTAAAAATCTTACCAATATGAGAGCCTTGATTGTGTCGTCTTCAATCGGCAAGCTTCCACTTTTGAAACTCTGCATCCGAAGCTCGAGTAATATGTCGACCAAATCCAAATCTTCGTGTTTTCTCCCCCGATCTTTATGTTCTCGAACCACATTCTCCAAGAACTCGTCGAACTGTTTAGCAACTCTCTCGACTTTCGAGTCGAGCCCATTAACACGAGTAATCCAACCGAACCACGGTATATATTCCCCCCCAGCTCGTGGCACCGAATAACTCGCTGAACTCTTCTAGAAGCTTCTTGAACTTTGTGCCGTCGCCCTATTTTCTACCCAATGCCACCCTGCAAATGACATCGTTCGTGACTGAGGCCAATAGATTGCTCAAGTTTATGACCGGCGATGAAGATCTCGATTCCCGCCTAATTTTGTCGACCATAATCGAAGTTTCTTGTTCACGGATAGCACGAAAAGATTGGACCCTCTTGTTGCTCAAGAGATGGATCACACATATGCTTCTCACCTAGAAATGTACATAATTTTTTTTCGAAACAAAAACTCGTGTTAGACCGTTTTATATTAAAGAGCAAGCGAAAATTTCGTTTTTCGTCAATTGAACAAAACTTACTCAACTCATCAAAGATGGTTCTGTTTTGTTAACTCTGTTTTCTACTCTCAACTCAAATTCAACTTAGAACAACTAATTTATTTCATGCAATTTTCCGAAAAACTTATAACTTTAATACTTTTTACACGCGTCTCGACTATTTAAATTTCCGCACCTGTCTCCAATATTCACCGTATGCAGTAAAAGCTACACTCCTCGAACCATACATCAGCCTATCCGGCATGCTTAGCTTGGGCCTATTTGAGAAGATCTCATCCTGGTTTTTCATCACCTCACGTGCGGTTATTGCAGACGAGACCAAAAGCACACGAGCGCGCCCAAAACGAAGCAACAACAGATCGTGACTGTTATAACGTCTCGACAGAGAATGTAATGAGCGGTGAGGAGAATTGCCGAGCTGATGGAGATTTCCGATTACCGGAAGCCCTTTTGGAGATGGCGGCAAGTTTTCCGCTTGCCGGAAGGCGATCGAGCGCCATTTTTGAAGTAGGGTTATGAAGAAGATGAAGGAAAAGAGAGGTAGAATCAATTGTTCAAAAATATTCATGTTTTTTTTCTCTTTACATGTATAAGGTATAAATTGAATTGAACAGTACTTTTGACAGAGATCAATATTGAACTGCACCATATTCATGGAAAGGGAAATGCAAAAGATATGTTATATTAATCAAAATATCTATGCAATGTATATTATAAATTACTCACAATAAATGGCACCACATGCAATCATGCATCCTATCTTATCTTGTTTCATGATATTCCCCTTTCTCATTATTAGTAAAAGAGATTTGTGTACCACGGAATGATTCTGTGAAGGATTTTAGCCATCAGATAAAATAACTGTACACAATAACTGTACATGTATATCTATATCTGATGGTCAAAATCCCTCATGGAATCATTCCGTGACGGGATTGTAGACAAATCCTAGGAAAAGACAAATTAAGAAATAGTTGTTGGCCAACACATAGGACTAAAGTCAGTAGAATACTTATCTTTGCAAGCTTTTTAATTACTCGATCGAAAAATGGATACTTTGAGCATCGAAGAATTTATACCGAAGTTTTTCTTATTATGTACATGTTTTGCCTACATTCTCCTCCATCGACTATCTTCGAATCAATTGTCTGAATTTAATAAATCCATTATCTTATTTTGTTCGTCTCTGTTTCGAAAGCTCTAAATCAATTTTATAAATCAATTCAAAAGCCATTGCTAATTTAGTTAAAAAATTTATAGCATCACATTAAGATTTTTAACTGTAGGAGACAAATTATCTATTTGCATATTTTGGAAGAGAATTCATTAATTCTAAAATTTTATATGGCAAATATAAAAAATAGCATAATTTAAATATTTGAATTCAACATGTTGATAGAAATAAAATAAAATGAAAAAGGAAAGCACCAGCCTGATTTGGGAAAATTCTCTGTTATTCCCACGTGACACTCTCTTGCTCTTTTTGGCGCGTGATTAGGTTTTCAGGCTCTCGTCCACCGCCATTTTATCTAGAGGCCCTCCTCCTCCATTTATCCATTTTTGTTCAGCTTCTCTTTATCTCACCACCTTCATTCACTCTCTGCAAAACACACAAAGTTACAATTATATCGCACTCCTAATCGATTCGAGACGAAAGCTTGAAGCTTTTTTCAATTTCCATTTTTCCTTTTTCTCAATTTTGTTCTCTTGAGGCAAGAAGATTTATGGACTCGGCGGCGCTTTCCTTGAGAGCCGTCTCCCCATCTCTATTGTGCAATTGCATAAACCTTAAATCGGTTCACGCGTCGGCCCATAAACCCACATCGCCGTTGCCGATTTCCCTTTGTGTTTCTTCGCAAAATTCACATTTGAATTGTGTGCATCCTCTTAAACCGGTCGCGAGAACACGTCTTGCCTGCGCGTCTGTTGCCTCCCACCACACCAACACCTCCAGCAGCGGCAATCTGAAGGCCGCCGCCGCCGACGCCGGAGCAAAGCTGCAGATCCTCATTCAGGAATTCCAGTCGCTGGTTGATTCGGTAGATCGCGTGAAGAAGCTTCTGCAGTATGCCGAGACTCTGCCTCGATTCGAGGATTCACTGAAGACCACAGATAACCGCGTCCCAGGGTGCACGGCTCAGGTCTGGCTGCATGTAGAGCTGGGCGATGATAACAGGTTGAGGTTCTCTGCTGAAAGTGATTCGGAGATTACGAAAGGGTTTTGTGCTTGTTTGGTGTGGGTACTCGATGGGGCGAGTCCCGAGGAAGTTTTGGCTGTAAAAACCGAAGATTTGGGAGCATTGAGTGTGGTCGGGATGAATGGGAGGAAAGACGGCTATTCGGGTAGCAGTAGGGCTAATACTTGGCACAATGTATTGATGAGTATGCAGAAGAGAACTAAGGCTCTGGTGGCTGAGCAGGAAGGTAGGCCACGTTTCGAGCCTTTCCCGTCGTTGATTGTGAGTGCTGATGGTATACAGGCCAAAGGAAGTTATGCCGAAGCTCAGGTGGAAAAATTTTATTTAGTAAAGACATAATTTATGGTTTAGTTAATGTTTGCTGTGTCTAGAGAGATACTGGTATAGTTGATTGGCATGATCTGGATTCTTATGATAACAGTTTTAGAAGTTGGGAAGTTGAAACCATATAAAATATAAAATAAAAAATGGAAGTGTTTAGTGACTGTCTTTTTAGAATGTATGTAGTACCTTTACTGACAGGATTAATTACAATACAAATTATACTAGGTTCAGTTGTAACTATTAAAACTCGGTCTTTGGGACACTTCCTGGCATCTTGAAGATAAATGTTAACTAATATTTTTAGTACTAAAGACAGATGCTTTGAAGCATGGGTCATTAGTTTGTTAGCAAATTGTAGAAAAAATATTTAATTAATATTGTCTGTATTGTTGTTCAGACTTTCAGTGAGTTGGGGGTTTCTGGGTTTGAAAGAAACATATAAATAACATTTAGACGCATTTGCCATTTATATTACTATTCTGCTCTTTGCCTCTGAGAATTGTTAGAATAAAAAATGTTGAGCGGGTCTCTTGTTGGCCTTTGTGATTAGTGTCGATTGATACAAATTTTATTGTTATGAGGCAGAGATATTCCGTGTGAGGAGTTGGTAGATTGTGTTGCTATAGTGTATCCTTCTCCTTCCTCAGAGATTTTTGGACCTCTTTCCCTGTTTGATAAGATAATTAAATCTGCTAATTTTGTAAGAATCACCAAGAATTTTGATCAGTTAGCAACACCTGTATTGTTAAGGGATTGAGTTCCCTTGTTTTCTACTTTTCTTTCCATTGTGCTGGATTAGATTATCCGCAATTTGTTTTCTCCTTGTTGCTCTGTAATTATTTATTCAATCTATTTAGTATTTGCATCAAGACATATGGAGAATTCTCAAGCTTTTTGTAATGGGACTTGAATTTAATCTGGAAAAATTTAAACCATATAGGATATAATCTTTAGGTTGTCTCTGTTCTTTCATCAAATTTATGTTATAAGATAACATAAATTTGCACCTCCAAGTCTCATCCCACCCACTAGGTCTTGTGTATGTTAATATCTTGTCTATTAGAAGTCCTAAGTTCCAATATAGTTCATTGCAGGCTAGATTTCTGCTGCCTAATGAGGTAAAAATTCAAGAGCTAGTGAATCTGCTAAAGGAGAAGAAAATTGGCGTAGTTGCGCATTTTTACATGGACCCTGAGGTTCAAGGCGTTTTAACAGCTGCACAGAAGTTCTGGCCTCACATTCACATATCTGATTCTCTGGTTATGGCTGATTCTGCTGTGAAGATGGCTAAAGCTGGGTGCAAATTCATCACTGTCCTCGGTGTTGATTTTATGTCTGAAAATGTGCGTGCTATCCTAGATCAAGCTGGATTTCCCGAGGTACTCCACCTTTTGACTATCCTTTTCTCTTTATATATTTATATATGTAATTTTTATTGTTATGATGTCTAAGCAGTTGCATGGGCTCACTGACCAAATAACTTCAGCTTTATCCAAGAAACCATTTTTTAGCCTTTTCTTGTTCATACAGTTGAGTTAATTACAAGAGCAAACGTGATGTTTGACTCAATTATGGATAAAACTAGTCATTATTTTTCAGAATTGCATCTACACCTGTGCTGAGGGTGAGAATCTCTAAAAATAGAAGCTAGTATCTCAGGACAGTATTTGTAGTTTCAAAAAGATAGATGGACATTTGGTTTATTAAACCAAAGCTGAGGATTATTTATTTATTTATTTTTATTTTTTAACTTCGAATGTTGTTCAGGTAGGTGTATACAGAATGGCGGATGAACGAATTGGCTGCTCCTTGGCTGATGCTGCTTCTAGCCCAGCATATATGGACTACCTATCAGCAGCTGCAACCTCTGTTTCGTCTCCATCTTTGCATGTTGTGTACATTAACACCTCCTTAGAGACCAAAGCTTATTCTCACGAAATTGTGCCAACAATAACATGTACTTCTTCTAATGTTGTGCCAACTATTCTACAGGTCGGTCTTTTACTCTTTTTCATAAAAATCATTATTTTTCACTCTTCTTCATTTTTTTCTTTTTCCTTTTAAAATGAATTTGAATCTGTTTTTTTTTTTTTTCAGGCATTTGCAGAAATTCCTGATTTGAATGTATGGTATGGTCCTGACAGTTACATGGGAGCAAATATTATGGAGTTGTTCCAACAGATGACAATGATGAGTGATGAAGAAGTAGCAAGTGTACATCCGAGTCACAACAGGAGCTCTATAAAATCTTTGATACCCCGCCTTCACTATTTTCAGGTACATATGGAATTATGATTGAATACGAGGCTTTTAGAGTGTGATTGGATATGTTGGTTTTGTTTGGTTTTTTTGGTTAATTATAGTTAATTTTGAAAAAGTTGGTTGGGTTAGGTTTGAGCAGGATTTTGAGTTTGTATTAAAATATTATTTAAAATAAAATGATTAAAGTTGGTTTGACGTAAAAGTAAGAGAGAGGTGATTAAAAGTGATGGGTAGTAAAAATTGTGTGAGTGGATAATATTGAATTAATGTTTATGTGATGNTGCATTGTCCATCACCTCTTCGGCCACGATGTTGTCAACAAAATAAAAGAAATGTACTGCGACTCGTTTCTAACCGCACACTTTGAAGTCCCCGGCGAGATGTTCTCCTTGGCAATGGAGGCTAAGCAGAGAGGGATGGGAGTCGTGGGGTCCACACAAAACATTCTAGACTTCATCAAAGAGAGGTTGCAAGAAGCCTTGGACAGGAAAATCGACGATCATCTCCAGTTTGTTTTGGGAACCGAATCGGGTATGGTGACCTCGATTGTCTCTGCAGTGAAGGGATTGTTATCGGGATCCGGTGGGGCCCACGGGGGCCCTAGGGTCTCGGTGGAGATAGTCTTTCCCGTCTCATCGGAGTCCGTAACTCGAATGCCGAGCTCTTCCTCACGAGAAGCGGGGGATGATTTCTCGAAGCTATCTGTAATACCGGGGGTTGCGAGTGGGGAAGGGTGCTCGATTCATGGTGGATGTGCATCTTGTCCTTATATGAAGGTTAGCTTCAATCTATTGAGTTTATTTTTGCTGTTAATTGTTGAAAATTTTTGAAGATATTAATTTGTCATTTTGATATGGATGCACTTGTTGCTTATGAAAATTATGCTTGATCGATGTACTTATGAAAATGTCAATTGGGAATAGATACAAAATCAACACTCAAGGTTTTAGGATATAGGTACACAAATTCTAGGGTGAGGCAGTATAACGCTTAGACAGGTTCACTTTCCATACTTTTCGAATAAAAAAAGCACACTTATACTAATTTTTAAAATGAGAAAAAGGGAAAATTAATATTACTCTTTGAAGTTACATATACATGACAAGCATTGTAGCCCAGATGAGACGTTACGGTATCGATTGGTAACGGATCAAAATCGATTTTGATTGGATGATGAGTTAAAGTGGGTTATTTTGAATAAAGTTAATAAAGTGGGATTCGAGAGATTGTAATTAAATAACATTTAAAAATGTAATGATTAAAGATTGTGTGATGCAAAAGTAGGACAGAGATTATTATTGGAAGTGATAGGTAGTTAAAATTATATGAGTGAGTTAAAGTTGATGTGATGTATGAGGATGATTGTTTGGTATTATTTAATAATATTGATAAAAAGTAAGTAAGAGAGTTAAAGTGAGTTGAAGTTAAGTTGGATTTTGAGTTAAAGTGAGTACAAAAATTAGGTGATTGGTTTTGACCGATTTTGATTGCATACCAATCACGGCCTACAGGATTACAGTTTCTTTGGGTCGTATCAACCCCTTATCTCTGCTCTATCATAAATATTCTTAGAAAAAAATTAATACCTCAAATTGTCTCCACGGCTAGGTGAATTTCGATACCTTGAAAAAAATTATATGTTCAAGTGCCGTCATTAATTTTGACTCGGATGGATTTTCTTGTAATTTGGCTAAATCACAGGGCAGCATTACTAATTACTCCCGTGGCCATATTCCTCTTTCCGTTTTTCGGTTTTCAATAAAGTAATTTCGAGCCAGGAGTTTCATTTCCTTCTATTTTTGACAGATGAACTCTCTTGGATCACTCCTCAAAGTTTGTCACAGTTTGCCCCATGACAAAGATAATCTTTCAGCTTATGAAGCCGGACGGTTTAGTCTGCAGACCCCAAATGGGAATCTTATAGCTGATGTAGGTTGTGAGCCAATTCTACATATGAGACATTTTCAGGTGATTTTACATTTTCGAAAATTCCCATTTGTTTCTATGAAAATATATATTACTGAGTATATAACTCTTGATTCCCGCTCGATTTGTGTATTCTCTCAGGCTACAAAGAAGTTGCCAGAGAAGCTTGTTCAGCAGATACTCCAAAGTGGCAATGTTCGATAAATTTCAACTTTCAACTGGAGAATTGGAATAAAAACTGTCCGACTGGATTGGAAAACGAGCCTCTTTCTTTTCCAAGCCGAGCGAATAAGATTCCGATAGTTTGGGAGAAAAAGTCAATGTGGAACGTCCACAAACTCGTGTAATAGTATACAATTTCTATATCATACAAAGCTAAAACTGAGCTAGCATAAGCTTGTTTTATCCAGCGGCTGTTGTGGTTATTTCATATTTGTACTAATAGTTAGATTTGAGTGTGTTTTTTGATCAATTTTGTGGTGTTTGTCATGCAACATTATCATTTGGAGTTTGGACTGGTTACAATGTAGGAAATATGTTAAGCTAGTTTGTGCTTGTTGTGGGGCTGTAACACGGTTAGTGTAATATTTTTTTCACCTATATTCCAGTGTTCAAGGGAATTTGGATGTGAAATGAAGCATGATTTTCTAAATATGGTGTTACATATTGTATTGTTCAGAGATCTACCTAACAATAAAAACTGGGAGTATTGAATCAGATTATATTCTTTTGTTTTTTTTCTGATTCTTTTGTTTTTTTCACCCAGTATGTGGATGGAATAGCTTTTCTAAAAAAAATTACTTTTCATCTATTTTTATATTTTTGTCTTCAATTTTATTAACACAAATATATAAATCAATCATTTATAATTATTGTTTTATTATTTTTATATGACACCTACAATCACAAACTCAAAATAGTTCATTATTCTACCTAAAACTATTTTTCCACATTTTTCATTACTATTTAGACATTTTTTTTTTTTCTCAAATAATCTATATCCAAATACACAGTGCTCTTAATATTTTCATTTCCTCTTACAACAGAAAACAATACTATTATTTACTAATATAAATATCGCAATAGATTTAATTTTTTTGGACATAAAATAAATAAAAAAATTTCTGTTTCCACGAACGGTCAATACGACACCGTATCAAGATACTTTTCTGTGTAATAGTCAAACATTTGCCAGTCTCGTCTTCTCCTCTCCATTCTTTGCAGGCACTCTGTTAGTCTGTTACAGCTAGAAAACACTGAAACACCGTTGGAGCAAAGATCTCTTGATAAAGATAGGTAACTTGCTACTCATGTCCTTTTTCATTCAATCGTTTGTTTAGTTCGAGCCGTATGGTATTTATATCGTGCTGGGATGAAATCGTTAGTATTGGGAATTTTTTTCATTTTTTCTGTAAAAAACACAATTAATGGGTGTTTCTTGTTGTCATGACTCATCTTTGTTTTACTGTTTAGGGATTTTAGAGTATAATGTGAGGTGTTTCAATTAAGGACCATGAATTTAAGCTGTTGAGCTCCGATTGTTCAATTTGATTTAATAAATTGTCTAATCACCTATTTATTCTTCTGTGAGAAAAATGGATGAAATATAATCCCTCTAGTAGTTATATGCATCTTTATTTGAAGTGAAGATTGAAACTTGGTTAGATGTAAGACTTGTTATTTTGGGAAAATTTGTTGTTACTGGTAGTTTCAGTTGCATTGCCCGAGTTTTTCGATTGAGTAGAACTCACACGAACTAGTATTTGATGCTTACCCTTCCACATGTTAATGCAGAACTTTATACATTAATCCTATTTTTGTAATTTCCTAGGATTGAAGTTTTGCTGCCCAATGGGATATGGAAATGCAATCACAAACACGAGCACCCAGACAAAGCAACCTCTTATCTCTTTTGGTGTAATATCAGATGTCCAATATGCCGATATTCCCGATGGCCGCTCATTCTTAGGCGTCCCTCGTTATTATCGGCACAGCCTTCTCGTTTTACAAAGAGCAGTACGAAATTGGAACGAGAAAAAACTGAAATTCGCAGTCAATTTCGGCGACATAATCGACGGCTTCTGCCCCAAGGACCAATCTCTAAACGCAATCACGAAAATCCTCGAAGAATTTCGTTCTTTCGACGGGCCCACTTACCACATGATCGGTAACCACTGTCTGTACAATCTCCCTCGTGAAAAGTTACTCCCTTTATTGAATATTCCTTCCCAAGATAACCGAGCGTATTACGATTTTTCTCCAATCCCTGAATTTCGATTCGTTGTCCTCGATGGCTATGATATTAGCGCCATAGGTTGGCCTAAAGACCACCCGAATGCGATAAAGGCGGTGAATTTATTAAACGAGAAAAACCCGAATTCGGACAAGAATAGCCCAAACGGGCTCGTGGGGCCCGAGAGGAGGTATCTCATGTTCAACGGTGCAGTGGGCCCAGAACAGATGGAGTGGTTGGATTGTATTCTTCGTGATGCAACTAAATTAAATCAGAAAGTAATAATATGCTGCCATTTACCGTTAGAGCCTATGGCCTCGACAAACGACTCGTTGTTGTGGAATTATGATGAGGTGATGGAAGTAATACATAGGTACAAGTGTGTGAAGGTTTGCTTGGGTGGGCATGAGCACCAGGGTAGTTATTGTGTGGACTCGTTCGGCGTGCATCATCGAGTTCTCGAGGCGGCATTGGAGTGTCCTCCGGGTACCAATGCTTTCGGTTATGTTGAACTTTTTGATGATCGTTTGGTGCTTAATGGTACGGATAGAATGGGAAGTCAAGAAATGGTTTTTGTTTAATTAGCATCTCAAATTATTACATATCTCATGTATTCTTGCTATTATTATCTGCTTAAGTACTGTTCTTTAAATGGACTGAGCTTGTGATTCATCTCAAGTTACATATTTCATGTGTTCTTGCTATTATCTGATGATGTGTTGACTTGTCAACATCATATTCTCAACTTTATTTCTCTGAGGAGCTTAAAATATATGGATGTAGTTATCTATCATCTTCAGTTGTCACAGCATTGCTTATCATGTTCTTGCCTATCTACTTCTACTTGGAACATGCTTGATAAGTAAATTGTATTATTATAACATTTCATTTTCTGTATCTCTNGTTGATATATCTCTCTTTCTTAAGTTTACTTTCCATTTCATAAATTAAAAATATGCTAGTCAACTTGCTCATTCTATTCATTTTATATATATGAGGTGCATCTCTGGAAGTAATTAAACGGATTGTTGACACATTTCAAGGTTCTGACCTTGATCCCTAATGGTCGAAACCATATTTTGATAGGTGTGGTTAGATTTGAAAAAGGTTGTACGGATTATAATATTAAATTATTTTTTTATTTATTTCTGGTCAAAAGTTGGGGGACAATAATATCATCATTGACTTATGGAAAGTGCAGTGCACTTTCTCACAAATTAGTTTAATGGTATAAAATCCTGATTTTCAACTATGCCCTCAAGTAAATATTGGCTATTAATTTCTTGCCATTTGTTCATGTTGCCCTTCTTCCTGAAGGTGCTAATGTCTCTTGCTGTAGAGTGACACTTTATCTTCAGATAATTACAAAAAGCACCCCCTAGATTCTAGACCTATTACAGTTAAAGTCCAATTTTAGACCTCAATGCTAATGAACACATCAGATAAACTAACTGATAGCTGATAAGTTAGCTTATAGTATTAGCACATCAAATAAACTAACTGATAGCTGATAAGCTAGCTTATAGTTTATATGTGATTTTCGAACTTATAATTTATAGCTTATGATTTATAGTTGAAAAACTAGCTTATATAATAAAGGTGTTTAATAAAATTAGCTGATAAGCTAGTTGAAATAAAAATTTCAACGAAATTATTTGAAAATTTATCCAAAAAAGCTTATGAGATAAGCTCGAGCTTTTTAAAAAAACTCGTCCTACCAAACGAGTCTTATTTGAATAGAGTAAGCTTATAAGCTAACCAAATAAGCTATAAGCTAGCTTATTTGGCTACCAAACATAGCCTAAGATCAACATTGACGGTTAGACAATCCTATTTTTTCAATAGATTTTACATACTTTGAAATTGAAATATTATGCTCTCAAGAATAAAATAAATAAAAGTACGACATTTCATAGCATAAGTATGCATTTTATTTTGAAAGGTATGACGGGTCAACCCGCATAACGGTTAGGCGGGCCGCCACACTCAAGAATTTAATACCTGAAAACTCTTTAAATTCTACTTTTTCATGTCTAGAAGTTCCACTATATAAGATAGCATTGGCTAAAGGTATTAATTCCATTATGACTTGGGAGACAAAAGACAAAAGACAAATTTTTTCTCCTGTCTAATTAGATTTAATCCTTATGATTTTTTTTAATTAATTAGATTAAACCTTACCATGAAAATAACATAGCATCGATTTAGTTAGGAAGACCAATAAGAAGAGAAGACTGTAAATACTTTTATTTGAACATACATTGATACATTACATGCAAACATAGATAGAATACCATAGAGCTCACTATTGCACACACAACATAAAACAACTTCAAAATGAAGCATTCACCCAGAAAGAAGACACTTCATTTCGACTGTGACTTCGCCTTCCTCTTCTCCATGAAGAAAAACCCGAGCAACGAAATCACCGAGAAAGCCGAGAAGCAAGCCGAGGCAACATCCAGCGACACGTGGCGGCCACTGATTGCCTGGACATCAAACAAATTCGTTGTTTTCTGGGCATTTGTGGTCTGACCGTAGGCAACCTCTGCGCCATGGGAGTCGAGCGCGTAAGCCCTGATGAAGTAGGTGGCGCTCGGGACATCTTTCTGAACCGTGTAAGTGAAGTTGTTGTTCGAACGGGTGTAAGGCCGGGAGACTATCTCGTGCTGACATGTCTTGTCCTTGTTCAGTTGATCCTCCGTTCTGCGCCACCCGCGGTCCATCTGGCTGATTGGTGCGTAGCACAACATGATTTTTACTGTCGTGTAGTTGGAATCTGTGCCAGCTGGGAAGCTCGTGTTGTACGACCATGATACGGTGATTGTGTCTTCCCCAGCTTGCATAACTGCAAAAATAAAATAAAATAAAATAAAATAAAATAAAACAGGTGATTTATCATTTATGGTGTGATTGGATATGGATCATAACTGATTTTAAATCGGTTTTGAATGATCAAGTTATTTTGTAACCAATCATTTGTTTTTACTTGTTTTCTACTTTTACATCACATTAACTTTAATTATTACATTTTAAATATTATTTAATTAAAAACTCAAAATCATCCAATAAATCAACTTTATTCAAAATAACTCACTTTAACCAACCAAATTAGATCATCACCGGTTGGATTCATATCAATCACACCCGCCCTTAGGGTTGGGGTATGAGAAGAAAAGTGATTGATTTGCAGAAACTGCCACTGAGGTTTGGGGTAATTAGGTATACTACAGGGGTGCTTTTGCAAATATCCAGAAAATTAACGGTCCTGAGGTTCTCAAGTTTTAATGTGGGAAAGCATTTGTTACCTTGACCTGCTTGAGGTGTTGCAGTGACTATGAGAGCTCGGTTCAGCGAAGAGAACATAACCGTGCCATAGCAAGTTGCTACAAAGCACGAAAGCAAGATTAATCCGGTAAGCCAACTGTGATTAGCCATTAAATTTGTTGGCTAATTTTCTTCCTCTCTGTTATTCAAAGATTTCCCAAAAAAAAAATGCTTAGGAGAAAAGATTGATAGGCTATGGAAAATCTTGCTCGTTAACTGGTGTTGAAGATGGGGCTGCAAGGTAATGACTTCAATAGGCTTATATAGAGTACAAATGTGGCTTTTTTTTTATTTTTTATTTTTTTGTTAGATATTTATTTCAACTAAAGGTTACACAAGAACAAAAAATGTATTTTTAAAGGTAGAAAAGTCAAATCCAATTGCCAAATTTTCCTATTTAGTGTTAGGGATTAGCCAATAGTCTACATTAAAATTGTGTTGTTTTCTTCAATGGGAAGTGGCCCATAAACATCTTGAGAGGGTGGGGCAAGAGTTTTATTAGCTATTATTGTGTAGTTGACTTTGGGTTATTACATATATATTACATGGATTCGGTCAAATGACCTCCATTTATGTTCTTAATTAGAATATCTTCCTAAATATTCAGTTTGGCACCATCTGATTTTCTTTTCTATTCTTCTTTCGAACTCATAGGTCCAGATTCTTTAGGGTCACGTTAAGAAAACCAGGAAAACCAGCAGATAATGAAGAAACTCACCTGGTTTTTGTTGCCAAAGGGTCGATTAGAGAATTTTTTTGCTTTTGCTTGTTAGCCAAAGGTTATCTAATTTCAATTGACAATGAAACAAAAAATTTCGAAAAAAATATTACTCATTTATCTCACTTTAATCTCTACCGGCCAGCCCATTAACATAAAAGAGAAAAAAGTAATTACTATTTAATCAGCAAAAAAAATAATTAGTAATTATTATTAATTCTTTTGTACTTCATCCCCTCTCTTGTTTCTAACTACCAATCTTATCCGTCAGTATTTTATTTTATTTTTTTATCACATCTAACTTTAATAATTACATTTTCATCTCAAATAAACACTTCATCAATGCATTTTAATTTAACGGGCAACTAACATGGGGCATGAAATTCACGAGTTGTTTCATAGTTATGGTAATAAATTTATATATTATGGATATAGGGTATTGACATTGAAATTACCCCTTAGTTTATGTAACGAAATTGTTGTGTACCCTTTTATTTTACAAATCTTTTGATATTTTTTATTATTATTATTTTTATGTCTTTTGAAAAGTGAAAAAGGCATGCGGAGTTGGCTGGCTACGGCATTAGGGGAAAAGGTACACTAGAGAAGCTACGACTCGATTATATTTATGATTGAACAACACAGAAAATTTGAGAGTTTCTTTTGAGGTGATGGCTATTTGCCGTGTGAGATTATGCAATCTTTATTGAAACTTAATTATTTTGGTCCTTTATTCAAACTTTCACATACTAACTAATTCAACCACGTAACCCAAAACAAATTAAATAAAAAAAAAATATATATATATATATATATTTTATTATTTTTTCATGATAAACAGAGAAGCCTTTTGTTGTTTCAGGTCGAACAAGGCCAGGAAATTTTGAAACATTCATAGCTAATACTATGAATTCGACAATAATTGTAATCAAATTACTAACTTATATAATCAACATGTAAATTATGCAGTTATTAATGTGCTGATCAACATAAAACTAGAAGCTCTAAAAACTACTTTGAATTGCAAAGAGCACCTCAATTCTGCTGAGAGGCCCTATTATTAGCCTTCTTCTTCTCCAAGTAGAAAAACCAAACCAATGAAAAGACGGCAAAACCCGAGTAGCAAGCCGAGGCAACATCGACCGACACATGGCGCCCTGAGATCGCTCGGATTTCAAACAAATTACTTTTTTTCTGATCGTCAGTTGTCTGACCGTAGGCCACCTCTTTACCAGAAGAGTCGAGCACGTAAGCCCTAATAAAATATGTCGCGCTCGGCACATCTTTCCCGACAGTCCATGTGAAATTATTGTTGGCTCGATTGTATAGCTTGGTAATTACATTATGTTGGCAACTTTTGTCCTTTCGTAAATCGTCCTCGGTTTTTCTCCATCCTCGGTCTTGTTGGCTAATTGGCGCAAAACAGAGCTTGATTTTTAAGGTTTTGTAGGCTGAATCGGTTTTGGATGGGAGGCTCAGGTCGAGTGACCATGTTATTGTTATGTTGTCTTCTCCAGCTTTGAGAACTGTTGGAAGGAAAAAAAAAATCGAACGATTTGTTAACAGAGGAAAACACAACTTCTGCAGGACTTAGTCATGGTATGCTCAAGTCATGACTCATGACTAGAAAATTTTCCAAATTGTCACAAAGTTTTGAAATGGAGCACAAACAAAACACTTTCTCCTAGCCTTTTAGAAAACTCGAGGACACTCTGAATTATTAGGTAGCCCGTGTTATATTTTGTCATGTATTCAATTGAAGCTATTACAGACTTTTCAAAATTCTTTTAAAAGCAGGTGAAACGAAGGACATATTTTAGAGATTTTTCAAAAACTTTTTAAAGTGAGAATTGAGGATACGATGAATTATAGATAACATTTTATCTTGTCAAGGCGGCTAAGTATATATATGATTTATGAATTATTTAACATGCCTCAACGAAGTATATGAATTATATGTTTAAAATACAACTACACATTATTATTTTTTCTTATATTTCTCAACTATACAAACTAAACAATATGTTTATAATATTTAATCTTTTATAATTTTTTTTTTTTTGTCAAGAAAAAACTGATTAACAGAGTTAATAGGAAGTACTATGATCTCATCTAAAGTTGCCCAGTGTGGTCTTTCACTGAGCTTGATTTAGCCAAAATAATAAATTCGAAACTTCATCTAAAGTTGCCGTCTTTCATTGAGCTTGATTTCAGCCAAAATAATAAATTCGAAGCCTCGATAGCTAGACAAATTGTAGCTAATATAATAGATTCGTCTGGGAGCATCGATAGCTTGACAAATTGTAGTTCGGGAACTATAATCTTTTATAATATTTAACTATAAAAGAATGTGATGATGATTTATTAATATTATTGGCTTGATAAGTTTTTATTTTTAAATAATGAATATGAATATTATCATAAATTAGTTGGAGTTGATCATTATTGATCATTCGATTGGTCGATAACTAAATTAATAAAATGAATAAAACTTTATAATCAGTTATTATCATTGTTCATCTTAGTTATTTTGAACATTAGGTAAGTTTATTTAATAAATTTAAAAAGATTTCCCCGTCTAAATGAAATTGTTGTAATTAATGACTAAATTTATTAAGTTTTTGTGATTTAATTAATATCAGTATGTAATCAATGAGGTTAGCTAATTGTGCAGAAAAACAAAACATTTCTCCAAATTTCTATTTAAAATAAGAAACCTATTTGGAATATAGAAAAGAGGATCAAGTATTGATATTTACCTTGTCTATGTTGGGTTGAGGCCGATACAAACAGAGTAGCCGGAAGAGAAGAGAAGGTTGTGCCGCCACAGTTGGCGGCAAGGCACGCAGTAACAACAACCGCAGCAACTAGAAAATCTTGAACCGCCATTGATGAATAAAGTCTTGTGCTAGTTTTTGTGGTTCATTAAATGATTTACGCCTTTCCCATAGACCAAAATGGGTGTTGCAGGGTTGTGGAGTACTCTCTTTGACTGAATACAGGTTTTAGCATAAAATATTGCATTTTCAGCATTTAAAACACAAATTTAGTCGGTCTAATAGTTAGTCATATCGTGCCATCATACTTTCTAACGAAAATGCATTTATGCTATAAAATGTCGCATTTCAAATTAGCACCTTGCCATCATATTTTCTAACGAAAATGTATTTATGCTATGAAATATCGCATTCAAAGTTAGTTCGATTTGACCATGTAGTTAGTTACACAATATTATTTTTCTTTAAATTTCTTAAGTATAACAAAACAACGTAATCACATGATAATCCTAGATAATATGATCGGAGAAAATCAACTGGGGACAAAAAAAATAAGGATATATAGCCTGAAAAATATATCAATAGCAAAAATATGATTAATATGATCATTTATTTGTATTTATTAATATTTAGTAAAAGGATATGTTAAATTATTCTGTTGCTTGTGTATCATTTATATTTACTGTCGGTGGATAAGTTTATATTTTCAATACTTAATAATAATTAATATCAATGTTATCATAAATTAGTCGGTGTTGATTCGTATTGGTTGATCATTCGGCTGTCGATAACTAATAAATTAATAAAAAGAATTTTTTATATTAACATTGGTAAAACTTTAAAATAAGTTACACTTATCTTAGTTATTTTGAACATTAGAAAAGTTTCTTTAATAAATTTAAAAAGGTTTCTGCCATCTAAATGAGCTTATTGTAATTAATGAATAAGTTTATTTAGTTTTTGTGATTTTAAGTAGTATGTAATCAACGATATAAGCTAATTGTGGAAAAAACATTTCTCCAAATTTCTATTTAAAATAAGAAAACGTATTTGGAATATATGAAAGAGGATCAAGTACTGATAGTTACCTTGTCCTTGTTTGGTTGAGGCCGATACAATCAGAGTAGCCGGAAGAGAAGAGAAGGTTGTGCTGCCACAGTTGGCGGCAAGACACGCTGTCACAACAACCGCAGCAACAAGAAAACCTTGAACTGCCATTGATGATTAAAGTCTTGTGTTAGTTTTCGTGGTTACTAAATGATTTATGCCTTTTTTTGTAAACGAAAATGAGAGTTGCAACGTGCAGGCTGTGGAGTTCTCTTTGACTGAATACAGATGGAAGGTTTTAGGAGGAGATATTGCATTTTCGGTATTTAATTAAAACACAAATTAGTTGATCGGTCTGATAGTTGGTCACATCGTGTCATCATACTTTCTAACCAAGATGTACTCATGCTATGCAATCATACTTTCTAACAAAAATACATTTATGCTATGAAATGTGGTATTCAAAGTTAGTTTGATTTGATCATGACTTGCCCGAATTGTGCAATGTCTTATAAATTATAAATTAAAATAACTCAAAAATTGGCTAAGATTTTTAAGATATTGTTACCCAAAAATAAACAATATATGAGATGACTTATATAATATGTGTGTGTATAATTAAGTCGTTAATCCCAATTCAAATTTATTTTATATAAACCTCTCTAACTTATTAAATATTATTGACTAGTTAATTGTCTTGAGCTTCGGAGCCTCTATGTTTAGGCTCGTGTCTGACGCTGATTTACAGGTTGATCATATTCGTGAATTGAGATGAAGTGCTTCGATCGAAAGTCTTGGTGTGTCTATTATTCAACCACATCACTTTTATTTGTGTTATTTTTTAAAATATAAACTTATCATTTAGAAAATACATATATTGAAAAATATGATTGTTAAACTATTGAATTTGTCTAGCAGTCACTTACGCTATTTAAAATTTCCTAAATTAATATTTGAAATTAAACTTCAAATATCGACTGAGTTTACGGCTATGTTTGGTAGACCAATAAACTAGCTTATAGCTTATTTGGCTAGCTTATAAGCTTCTTGTAATTAAATAAGCTTCGTTTGGTAGTGAAAAAGCTCGAGCTTATTTCATAAGTTTCTTTAGGTATCAACTAATTTTATCAAATACTTTTATATATAAGCTAGTTTTTCAGCTATAAGTCATAAGTTATAAGTTATAAGCTCGAAAATTACTGATAAGCTATAAGCTAGTTTTACCAAACATAGCCTACATATCTGTACATGCTTTTGGTCTCATTTTTGTACCAAAAAACAGTCCAAAATAAATCAGATATAGCTGAGTAACATAATTTGACACGCATACTAAAAAAAAAAACTGTTGGCTCCATAGTGGAGCCAACTAGTATAGAGCCCGTGCGATGCACGGGGTGTACAATTTTAATGCTATTTATCCAGGCTTATAATTATATACATGAATAAAGAAAAATGTACGAGATATATTTATTTGGAGAATATTATATTATAAGATGCAATATTCAATAAAAGTTTATAATACGCAAGAAAATTGTACAATGTTCAATAAAAGTTTTATAATATTCTAGTGGAGTCTTAAAGTCTCTTGTACATTAAGACTACTGACAAAATAATATTTTAATCAATGAGTTTCTTTTCCTTGTAGTCAAATTGTGAATGTGATTTGAGGAGTACAACAAATCGATATATAGCTGACTTGCTTTTTTTATTGTATTTTTTTTCTTTTTCTTTTATATAATGAATTTAAAGATATTATAAAATATAGCAAAAATTAATTTTTTTATTACAATTAAAAATTTTACTAAATATAAACTCTCAATCTATGGTGTTAATCAACGTTTAAGTCTAAAAAATTAGGAATTTTTACCTCTTTTAATCAACCTTTAAGTCTAAAAAACAATAGAGTTATTATAAGTTTTTTTTCTACATCTTTTAAAACATTAAATATGAGCATGCTAGAGCTAGCTTGTAAAATAATTAATTTTTTATCTCACTAAAACATTTATACTAATAGAAATTTAATTTTAGCATATAAATTTATCCCTTGATATAAGAGAAAGTAACAGTTTTACTTATTATTGTTCACCATATAATATTTAATTATTATTTTATTATATAATAAAAAAATATTGTTAAATAGTGTAGTAGAATTGATAAAATTATATGATTTTTTTTACAATATGGATTTAATATTTTTTTATGATTTGATAATATAAACAAATCTATACTTAACTTTGACAAATAAAACAAATAAGTACTTTAGTAAGTATTTAATGTATATACTAAATAGAAATATATTTGGTATAATCAAATACCAAATATAATCAAATAAGTCAAAGTGTACATTTTTATTTGGAATTTGATTTTTTTATTATTAAAATCTTTTCATTATACTTACCTTTTTAAAATAAAAAAAAATAAAATATTATAATACCAAAATAGTAATGACATTTAATGCAGTTGACTTTTTTGGATAATAAATGTAGTAAATAGAATCTCCTTTTATATAAGTATAGATATAGATTGTATAATACGGAAATAGTAATGCAATAAATGTTGTTGACTTTTCTTTATACTAAATCTGGTAAATGGTATACCTTTTAATATAAGTATAGATTAATATAGAACTAAAAAGTAAAGACTTTTTATATATTGTACTAAAATTACAAATTTTCTTCAATTGTTTTTCGAGAGTGAATATGATGATAGAAATTATAGTTTGTCACTGACGTCGATTTTGAATGTCGATTTTCAATTAACATCTTGTTCAAAATTGAATAATGACATCGTGTTGTTCGTTTGCAAAAGACCTCCCTTTATTTGAAGCTTTGTATTTATAACCAGACATATATTACGTTTAAATCTCGCTCGACAGTTTTGCTATGGAGCCATCGGATAGCTCGGCTTATGGAGCCATCCACAGTTATTAACAAATAGTGTTTTGACATGTGTCCTACAATAAATACACTTTGGACATATGTTAATACATTAAGTGATGGATGACTCCATAAAAAACCATCCAAACCATAGAATTTTCGTTGTACTAAAATTACAGTTTTCTTTCAATTATTATTCCACGCGTACTCATAAAAAGTCAGTCCGAGTAGGGGTTAACACACCGCCGTTGGCCAGACCTGCCGAAACCATATAAACTCAGCAGGAATCATGATTTACATGGCACTTGTTGACTCGTTCTGTGTCATTCATGTTCTGTGCCATAGATGAGATTGAGAAATCAAAAGAGGGGCGTGAATAAAGAGAATTGGAAAGAGAATGAGTGTTGTACCTTTATTATTTTTCTGTATTATTATTAAAGTAATATTATAAAAAGGCATGAATCCTATTTTAAGTGCCACCTGTGCTGCCACATAAGCAGATGGTTCAATAACAAAAACCATCGACGGGTTCTGTAGAAAAACCGATGTACATGGAGTGAGAACAAAAAAAAAAATTGCAAATGTATCAAACTATTCATCATTATTTATTTAGACATCTCATTTTAGTCATTTTTTCAAGCATATTTTTTTTTAACTCATTTTACTATGGAAAAAATCACATTGGCTAACACAAAATTTCCACACATTATAAATTGCTATAACCTATGGGGAGATGACCATCCCTTATAGTAAAATGACATACAAAATGGGTATTTAGTGGTATGTCCTTGGCTTGTTACCCATGGACAAAACTAGCTAAATTATTAACTCTCAAGTTGTAAATAAGTTTAAATCAAAACTCCACTCCCACAATCCCATTGGCCTATCTGCATAGTCCACTCAATTTCATTAATGATAAATCAACAAACTTTTGGTCATGAGCTACAAAGAACAACTTCAACTTCCCCTTGTTCATCTGCTCCTTCATTCATACCAACATTGGTAAACTGTAATTCACTCTCATAATTTGATTTGCAGGGTAAAAGAACTCTGTACACAATCCGAACATAAAAAAAAATCATTAGTTTGGTCCCATCTGAGTAATGTAGCAGATAGTGTCAGAAGGCGAAACAGAGTAGATGCCGTTAAGTAGCTTCAGATTATCGAGCTCTCTCAGCTTCCCTAAACTATCAAAATCGATATGCGTGGCTAATTTCCATCTCTTGAAAAGAAACACAAAGCAAAAGGAAAGAAAACCAAAGATAATTACCTTTGATCAAGAGTTGGTTTTAGTCATCCAAAATGCCGATTTTTTTTGTAAGAAATATAAATGGTCTACTAAAGGAATAAAACAACTTGAACATGAGGACAATTAAGGGTAGCAAAATAAAGACACGAGGACAATGAAGTATAGCAAACAACGAATACAATTCTTTCACTTTTTTTGCTTTAATTGGTTGAGAGTTCATTTCTGAAGATAGCATACTGTAACTTGGAAGATGAGGAAAGAACATTAACCGAAATTCTGATAGCTGAACAACAAGTGTTAACATCAGGCTTCCTGCAAAAAATGCTATTGTGAAATCAATGGCAAACAATATACACTCTTCAAATATACATTATTTTTTCTCTCTGCTGGAGCTAATTTTTCAGGTTCTTTGGCATTAAATAAGTCCACTCCAAGTAAATGCATAAGAGACACCAAAGCAGCATAAGCCATCTATAACTCCTAAATCTGTTAGTGATTGTTGGGAAATTTTGGATAATCAGAAGAAGCTGTAAAGTCCAGATTGCAAGTTCTGAATTCACCTAAATTTTGTTTACTTCAAAGTAAAAGAGAAAAAACACACACACAGAGCTCATATGGCATGATATAATCTTTATGTTATAATAACTATTAGACTATTAACATGTGTATAGGATTAAGTACATTATTATAAGTTACATTAATAATTTTTAAGAAAAAAAAGGAAGACAAATGTCCCTAAAGTAGCCTATCATATTCATATGGGATTCAGTCTCTTGAGCACTTAGTTGCTGTTTTTCTTCTCAACATTAACATGCTGATACCATATTAAATGGAAATTTAAATATGAAATGTTTGTGCATTAATTTGAAGCAATAAGTTTGATTTAGAACTCATTTTGGAGAACAATCTGTGCAGGTAAAAGCAAACAACGACATGATTCATCCTAAACACGAGAAACTTTTTTGGGAAATTGTTTGTTTTCGAATTGAAATGTTGGTATAAATATTCCACAATGCAAATTCTTATATATGATAGTCTAACTATTTGGCGGGTCGCCCTTTATACTTTTTTCAACTAAAACAGACTTATATAGCATTACAATGTTCCTTAAAATAAGATTGCAATAAGTTCATTAATAGGTTCTATGGGTGTCAGCATATTCAGATNGGTTTTAATTGATGCTCATTTATTTTATTTTGTAGTGAACAATAATTTGAGAATGAGTTGTCTGCTACGTGAAGTGTTTTGTAACAGCTGTTGCTTGATCAGAAACTTTCACCTGTCTTATCATATATATCAACATAAAATATGATGTGATTTTTTTCTAGTGATTATTATTTATTCTACCTATACAAAATAATATGTGTTCTTATTAACAAGACACCCTAAAATCATCTATTAGATAGACCTAATGTTAGGACATGCTTTTTTTTAAAAAAAAAATAAATATACATGTTTTCACTAAAAAAAGTATAAACAGAAATATAACATTTAATGATCTCATTATGCATTTTTTTCCATATAGTATGACAAATTGATTTGTATAACTGTTAGATGTCTCACAAAAAAAGTTGTTTTGGAGATTTGGACTAAAGGTTTGATCAAAGTTCACTAAGTAATATCCAATAATTTTGAGAAAAATGCAATTTTTAACCTCGTGTGATTGGAAGCATTACATATTTGCACCTGTTGTTTATTCCCTCCTATTTTTAATAAATGTCGTTTTGAGAAGTTGCACAGTAATTAAGAATACTTTTTTTGACACTAATAACTCTCGTTAATGAGGATAGGGATGGATGTTTTGAGAAAAGATGAAGAGTGAATATGAAAAGACGTAATGTATTTATTAGCTAGATGAGGGCAGTAATGGAAAAATATGTACAAAATATCCAAAACGACATTTATTTAGTTAATTGTTGACAAAGTTAAAATGACATTTAAAAAAAATAAGAGAGAGTATATTTTTTATCTTAATAATAAATTTTGAGCAAAAACATGCCACAATAACTAATTTTTGCATTTCAAATCCCGTAATGAATGATTGCAATTTGCAAATATCACAAATAACTAAATTTCAAGGGACTAAAGATACAAAATTTGACCATAAGAGTTCAACGATATTATAGTGAGACTGAATACAAATCTTGGATCCAATCTCAATCTTAAACAAAATGAGTCTCACTTTAGTTCGACTTAAACTCATCGAAAGCTCGTTTAGCTAGCGAGTCGAGTTTAGCTTATTAAGACTCGAAAGTAAGAGTGTTAAAGTAATTTTTTGAAATTTTACCTCAATTCAACTTATTAATGATCAAGTTAAGTTTGTTAATTAATACTAACTAGTGCAATACCCGTGTATTACACGGGTGTTGAATTAGAAAGTTTTTGTAAAAAATATTATTTTTTTATTTTTTTAAAAATTTAAATAATTTAATTTTATATAAAACACTATTTTGGGTTTTAATTAAATTGTCAAATTATATTATTTTAATCATAATAAGTAAACACATGTACATTAAATAAAAATGTCAACCCATGTTGAATTTATTTACTTATATCATATAATAATATCGATATTATTTACTATTATATAAGCAAAAAAATATATATCTTAAGTAAATAGAAATATTATGGTGATATGTTTTTGCATAAGTGTAGAATATGTTTATTTAATATTATGAAAAATATTAATTGATAAATAATTTTATTTTCTAATTAATTTTAATAGATAATTTTATTATTATTATAAAGATAAATATAATTTATTTATTTTATATATACAATATGGATGTCAAATCGAAGCTCATCAAAAGATGATTAATTTGATATATATGTAAAACCGATAAGAATACAAAAGTTATCAACTTTTAAAATATATTTGCAATTCAATGGTTATAATAGGAAATGATATTAAAATACAATTAATACAAATATTAATTTATATCCAAGCCTAACTCCAAAGCATGATTTTTTGTCAAATAGAATTCTAAAGCATGAGAATTTGTCACGTAAACTCGGCGCATTTTGAAATTATATAGAGAGAGGATAACGAGTCGAGCTTAAACTAATCTATCGAGTTGATAATAGGTTCAATTTTAAACTTGATATTGAAAGTTCGAGCACTGTTGGACTCACGCCTATTCTTATATGTACCAAAGCCAACTTTCTCCAACTTTATTTCTCACAAATAATCCCCTCTATATATAATTTCAGAATGCGCTGAGCCTACGTGGCAAATTCTCATGCTTCGAAATCCTATTTGGCAAAAAATCATGCTTTGGAGTTAGGCTTGGATATAAATTAATATTTATATTAATCATTTTCTATTATAACCATTGAATTACAAATATATTTTAAAAGTTGATAACTTTTGTATTTCTTATCGATTTTACATATATAATATATCAAATTAATCATCTTTTGATGAGCTTCGATTTAACATTCATATTGTATATATAAAATAAATAAATTATATTTATCTTTATAATAATAATAAATTTATCTATTAAAATTAATTAGAAAATAAAATTATTTATCAATTAATATTTTTATTAATATTAAATAAACATATTCTACACTTATGCATATACATGTCACCATAATATTTCTATTTACTTAAGATATATATTTTTGTACTTATGTAATAGTAGATAATATCGATATTATTATGATATAAGTAAAAAAATTCAACACGGGTTGACATTTTCATATACATATTGTATACATAAAATAAATAAATTATATTTATCTTTATAATAATAATAAAATTATTTATTACAATTAATTAGAAAATAAAATTATTTATCAATTAATATTTTTCATAATATTAAATAAATATATTCTACACTTATGCATATACATATCACCATAATATTTTTATTTACTTAAGATATATATTTTTTTGCTTATGTAATAGTAAATAATATCGATATTATTATATGATATAAGTAAACAAATTCAACACAGGTTGACATTTTTATTTAATGTACAGGTGTTTACTTATTATGATTAAAAAAATATAATTTAACAATTTAATTAAAACCCAAAGTAGTGTTTTATATAAAATTAAATTATTTTAATTTTTAAAAAAATAAAAAAATAATATTTTTTACAAAAACTTTCTAATTCAACACCCGTGTAATACACGAGTATTGCACTAGTCTATATATAATTTCAGAATGCGCTAAGCTTACGTGACAAACTCTCATGCTTCGGAATCTTATTTGGCAAAAAATCATGCTTTGGAGTTAGGCTTGGATATAAATTAGTATTTGTATTAATTATATTTTTAATATCATTTCCTATTATAACCAATGAATTGCAAATATATTTTAAAAGTTGATAACTTTTGTATTTCTTATCGGTGATACATATATAATATATCAAATTAATCATCTTATGATGAGTTTCGATTTGACATCCATATTTAATAATATAAAATAAATAAATTATATTTAGTATTATAATAATAATAAAATTATTTATTAAAATTAATTAGAAAATAAAATTATTTATCAATTAATATATTTATTTTAATGTAGTTATATGTTATAAGGTAGAAAATTTATTATAATATAACACATATAATTCGCACAAGTAACATGTGTCATACTAAAATATATAATATATATTCTCTCCTATTTTTATTATATGTCACTTTGGCAAAATCATGCTTTGGAGTTAGGCTTGGATATAAATTAATATTTGTATTAATTTTATTTTAATATCATTTTCTATTATAACCAATGAATTGCAAATATATTTTAAAAGTTGATAACTTTTGTATTTCTTATCGGTTTTACATATATAATATATTTAATTAATCATCTTTTGATGAGTTTCGATATGACATTCATATTGTATATATATAATAAATAAATTAATTAGAAAATAAAGTTATTTATCAATTAATATATTTATGTTTAATGTAGTTATATGTTATAAGGTAGAAAATTCATTATAATATAACACATATAAGTCGCACAAGTAACACGTGTCATACTAAAATAGATAATATATACTCCCTCTATTTTTATTATTTGTCACTTTGGCTTAATTGATCATTGATAAAATAAATGTCGTTATAGATATTTCGTTCATATTTTTCCATTTTTAACCCTCCATTTAATACACAGTGTCTCTTCATATCCCATCTCCATCGTTTCCCATAACATCTATTAAATAGGATTAAATTTCTCATTAGTGTGTTGCATTTGAATTGATATTATGAAGTCCGTTTATATTTTACTATTTATTTATATTTATATATAATACAAAACAGTAATATATATCCTTATAAATAAAATTTAAATTTATTTATCAAACTAAATTAAATTATATCAAATAAAACTATAAATTATATTATAAAGTAATAGAAATTGGTATGTATTCTTTTAAAAATAAAATTTATTTCAAATCTAATTGGTATGTTGTCAATGTAATAAAAATAAATAATTATTTATATAAATTCTAAAATTATATATAAAGTTAAAAAATTGTGAAACACGACTGATACGACACTTGATGTATTAGATAAGTAAAAAAATTAATCTATTTTGCTTATTTTAAATAATCATATTCTACACTTATGCATATACATATCACCATATTATTTCTATTTATTTAAGATATATATTGTACTTATGTAATAGTAAATAATATCGATATTTTTATATGATATAAGTAAAAAATTCAACACGGGTTGACATTTTCATTTAATATACGGGTGTTTAATTATTATGATTAAAGGAATATAATTTGACAATTTAATTAAAACCCAAAGTAATATTTTATATAAAATTAAATTATTTTAGTTTTTAAAAAATAAAAAATTTAATATTTTTTACAAAAGCTTTCTAATTCAACACCCGTGTAATACACGAGTATTGTACTAGTATTTAAATATAAACAATAGATTTGGCACACAAAAATCCAAAATTTAATGCTTTAATACCGCGTCATTGGGTACAAATTAATTAAAAAAAAAACTCCATGTGAGTATTTGAAAAATTACAATATGCCACAAGCAGATGATAATGCAAGACCTTTGCTGAAGCCATCGGTCAACCTCAACAGTAAAAGCTCACAAGTTTTATTTTCAATACTTCTATTCAGTACTCAGTAGACTAAATTGGTTCCCAAAAAACTTTTGATTTTCTTCTCTACACTTTTCCATCATTGAGCTCTGACTCTGACTACAACACACAACAGGAGACACATAAGCGCGCTTGGATAAGAGCTTTTTCGAAAATATTTATTTCATCCAAAAAAAATGACATGAAAATGAGATTGGGAAGGAATATGTAATAAAAAATATAATTATTCAAATTAATTAACCTGATATAACAATAATAAGATATGAATTGTTAAGATTGATCTTTACAATTATGTGAGTAAACAATAATGTTGATGTGAAGGAAAATATATAATAATTATTATTATTATTTTCAGTTAATACTTGTGTTAGTGGAATAGTAGAGAACAAGTGAAATGAAAATTTTTTGTTTTACATTTTTTTTCAGATAAATCTCAAGCTAAAAGATGAAAACAAAAAAAAATTGCATGTCTAATGATCTAAATAAAATTACAAAAGTACAATATTTAATTAACAACAAAAATATTTATTTTTGTTACCAAAGCATCACAGATTGATATCTTTAATTACAATTTTAAGAATTTGTCTCTTCCTCAATATATGCTAGGGAAATTTCAAAAAATTATACAACATACAATTCTTCTCAGTTCTCTCACTTATCAAGGACAGATCAAGAACAAAACAAAGAAAACTATAACAATAAAATAAAATAAAACGTTGGGATGCCACCCAATGACCCAAATCCGTCGTCATCTCCAATCACGCCATGAAAACCCAAAAAAAGATATAAAAAAGTCCACAGATGTAAATAGATTAAAAACCTAATCACATGGGCCACTTCATGTGCCCCTGCTCTTTCCTAATTTCCCCCAATCTTTCAAAATTTTGGCCCATAACGTCATTGTCCTTTCATTATCCAATAATTCTTCCCGCCATAAATCCGGGTCCAAAAAAATGACCCGAACTCCCCATCGCGACCCGAACACGGGTCATCCAATTTTGACCCGACCCTGTCCACTTTCTTCCCCACCCACGACCCGACTTTTCCCCCACACACTCACTCCACTTTCCACGCATATAGAAACAGACAAAAATCCGCCGCGCCGGCGGAGCTCTGGCCGCCTCCGCTGAGCTCCGCCGTCGCAACCGTCGGCTTGAAGATGAACAGCGCGTGCCTCAGCCCCGGGCTGAACAGCCAATCGTGCACGTCGTAGAACACCTCGATTTTCCCCCTTTTCAAATTGATCATCTCGTTCCCCCTGAACTTCCACTGCAGGTGCCTCACGTGGACCACTAGGTGGCCGTCGATTCGGATCTCCATCTCCGGATCCCCGCTGTCCGCTGCCGCGGCTGCCTTCCCCTTGCACTCGATCGAGATCTCGTGCAAGCCGCCCTTCCCGTGGAACCTCACTCGCGTCCCGAATTTCCTCTTCCCGAACACGTGCTCCTTCCTCGAGACCAGGATCGGGTCGATCAGCGCCGGCCGGCATCCCGTCTTCCGATACGCCTCGTCCTTCATGTTCCCGAGGAGGAGGACGATCTCGCCGCCGCACACGACGGCGACGTAGTAGTCAGCGCCGGGCTCCGCCTCGCCGTTGAATCTCGCAAAGCGGAGGTCCCAGAAGACGTCTACGGGCGTGCAGCCGTCGAGTAGGAACCGCTTGGAGCCGTGCTTCTTCCAGAAGTGCCACGGCTTGAGCTCGATTTTGCAGGCGGCGGAGCCCTCGACCGAGACGGAGAGGCCGTGGAGGAGGAGGTTCTTGCACCAGGTGACGGTGATGAGGCGGCATTGGTCGGCGATTTTTGTGCGGTAGACCGAGACGAACACGTTCTGGCCGGATCGGGTGACGGCGGACGGGTCGTCGGCCAACTTTTCAGCCGGAGGGGAGAAACAAGCCGGGATGCCGAGCTGGTCCTGCATTGTTTTTTAAGAAAATCGATCGAATTTCTGAATTTTTTTTTGAGAAGATGAGTGTGGAATGTGTGAGCTAGATAGAAAGAGATATATATGAAATGTGGTTAGTTATGGTGAATTGTGGATTTTCGTGGTGTTTTTGTTTTTTTGTTTTTGTTTTTTTATTTTTTTTATGGGTTTTGGGCCAGAGGTTTTTCTTGGCAGCATTAAGGGATAAATATAAAGGTTTTGCAAACTGGCAGATGACAGGTGAATGGCAATTGGCATTAAGTAAAAGAATCAAGATTCAAGCATCCATAAATTAATCACAAATTATATATTCAAGCATCCATACATTAATCACAAATTATCAAGATTCAAGCATCCATACATTAATCACAAATTAATCATTCTTTTATAATAAAAAAATAAAAATGTATGTTTATGTTGTTTTTTAAATTATAATATTGATAAAAAAGAAAAAAGTGTTTTTCAAAAAAAATATACTATTTTAGGCAGATAACGGTCAGACAGTCATGTTTTTTAACAAATATTTGTACTTTACTCAAATATCATAGTATAAAGAATCACCCATTTCATAACATAAGTTTGTTTCATTACAAATAGTTTGAGTTTGTGGAATATTAATATGGGATGCTCTCTACTTGGGTTTACTTGAAAATATTCTATATTTGTTTTGTGTTTTCTATGAAGGGACGGTTATAGAAATATATATTTATATAGTTGATAAACAAGGAGAAAATAAGCTTTGATTTGTGAAGTTAAAGTTTCGTTTGGTACGACGGACTTTTTTAAAAAACTTGAGCTTATCTCATAAACTTATTTATATAGTTTTTCAAATAAGTCCTTTGAAATTTTTATTTCAGCTAGCTTATCAACTAATTTTACCAAACACGTACTTTTATCGCATAAGGTAGTAAGCTCGTTTTTCAGTTATAAGTCATAAACTATAAATTATAAGCTCGAAAATTACTGATAAGCTATAAACTAGCTTATCAGTTAGTTTTACCAAACATAGTCTAAATGTTGAGATTATAAATACAAACTCAAGAAGCTTGTTGCTCAGTGTATAGAGGAATGTGAACTAAATTTCTATTGATTGAAAACTATTTAAATTTAAAAGTTTATGATTGTAAAATGTGATTTTTTATTAATGATAAGCTTTTATGATTTATATTTGTGATATATATAGTTCATTTAAGCCGACGAAAAAGTTGAAACTATAGGACTATTATTGGAGTTACTTTAATGTAAGTGATAGGTTATGCTCAGACTTCATGAAATTACGTTGTAACACAAAATCGATGATATATTTTGACTTTGAGATGACTTTATTCTTTCAAATTTTGAGTTTGATGAGTTTATTGCAGTGTTTTAAATACCGTACTCGTGGTCATATCGGTCTAACCATCGGTACGCGATATTATCGGTCGGACCAGTAATATCGGTGGTATTACCGTACTAACAAATATAATGACGTATATAAATATACATAAAAATATATAATACCAAATGTAAAAAAGTAAAAAAAATAAATTAATTTCAACTTCTCAATAAAATAAAAATAAAACATTTTTAACCAATTTAAACTTTACGTTTTTAAATTAATAATTTTTTTTATTTGGCTGGTATTTTGGACCGGTATTTTTCGCTATTTACGGTATGATCCTGGTACAAATTAACCGGTATAAACCGTAAATCCGGTATTTTAGATCAACTATACCGGTCGGTACGCTACGGTATTACCGGCCGGTACGCTACGGTATTTAAAACATGGGTTTATTGTTAACATATACATCAAATTCGAGCTTGACGAGTTCATTGAACAATACATAGGTAATAGAATAAATCAACCTACATTTCATGTTCGACTGAACTCATTTGAATTCCACGTAATTTAGAACCAACAATCAAACAATAATTCACGCTTCAAAATTCTCAATCAATATTGAATTATATTCATTTTGGTTCGAGCATTTACAACCCTAAATCAGATCATAAAGAACTCTAACCAAATTTAAAGCTTTTGAATTATAACCGAACTAAGACCTATGTGGCAGCCTAATCGGCTTTAGGAAATAAATAATAATAATAATAATAATAATAATAATAATAATAATAATAATAATAATAATAATAAAACTTGGACTCATGTTTCGTACTCAAAAATACTTTGACTTGTTTTGCCCTAACCTCAATTCTGAAATCTCATTATGCTTTGTCTACAAGCCTTATTTATAGATTTTCACTTAACAAGAGTGTATTAGATGTGGAAAAAATTATCCTGATAATGTCGCTGGGTCTGACCAGGCCTCGCTTAATGTTTAGTTTAGATTTTAGTCTTGAAAAATGGACAAAAAATCTATCAAAAAATAACCTATTTCTCCAGTCAAGATTTCTAATAATTTCAACCTGAAATTTTCAAATACGCATGAAAATCCTTCAAATTTAGCTATCAAGCTGATAACATAATCAATTAATAATATCACAAAAACTTCACATATGAAACATAACTAGTATTTGACCATGTGCATTTGCACAATGTAAATAGAATATTATAAGTTACATTTATGCATATAGTATTAAAATTATAAGTTATACAATGATATTATATTTTAAACATAGAGTATTATAAGTTACATTTATGCATATAATAATAAAAATATAAATTAGAAAATGATATTATGTATTTGATCATTAGTTAAAATAAATAGTACATAACTATTTGATTGCATATGAACCACTATATTAATTACATAAAATATAATAAATAGTGTAATTTTGAGAGATCGTCAATTTATTAGCTTAAAAATATTAAATTTATTATAACATTTGATTATGCGATTTTAAGGAATTTTACTATAGCATTAAAATAAATTAACTAATTTAAAAATACAATCGCTAAATAAGATAAAAAAAATATAATATTAATTTTAGAATAAATAACTTTAGCAAAAAATTTACAATAATTTTTTATGTTTATGTAACTTTCATATATCATTTAGTGTAAACTATAGTTATTAGTTTTAATAATAACTATTATATGATATAATAAAATAGTATAATTATTACTCCCTTAATATAAAATATAACGGTTTTTGTCTTCTTAACCCTAAAAAAAGTGCAATGAAATATTTTAGCATTAATTAGATATGGTGGATTAATAATAATAATAATAATAATAATAGAAGATTACAACATAAAAAGATGATAAACAATAATTAATATTATTAAATTTATTGTTAGTAATTAAATATAGAGAGAGATATATAAATGATAAAGTTTGTAACGGTTTTTGGAGGGAAATCGAAATGAGGTTTTATTAAATGCTTTATTGAATGCTATTGGCCAGCAATTATATTTATAGATAATTGGGTCAAACAGGTAAAGCCATTAACATTTTACAAGCCTAAATTCTAAAGCACACAGTGTGTTAGGTCCATTCAATGGTACCCAAAAGTTGTCATCCTTACTGTATTTTTATATATATGTGGTCAATTTTCATACTCACTTTAACCAGACCAACTTTTGTGAAACCAAGATTGGATTGATTCTGGTAAAGGGTCAAAATACAATAAAAATGTGTATGCATGGTTAAAAAGAAGTGAAAAAAAATTTTCTTCACCAGATTTGGCATTGATTTCTACAAATCACGGATTGATTACAGCACACGAGATTGGAAGCAGTAGATAAAAATAAAATTAACTTGTGACAATACCTAAGAGCTTTATAACTACACCAATTCTTTAATCACTAGACATGTCTTCTCATTTTTTAAAATAAAAGTATTATTGACGATAAACATCAATCGTAATAAAGAACGATTTAATTAAGGGATTATGGAGATTTTTT